ACGCGTTTCGAAAGGAGGAAATAAAAAAATACACGCCGGGGCCCAAAGCCGTTAAAGAACATCAGCAAGTCAGCTGTTGAAGACGCACGCAACGACGCACGATCGCCGAATAAATCACGGGTAAAAGGATCGCCAGACGGTGCTGAGTCGAGGTCGAGTCTAGACTCTTCCAGACTCTTTATCCATTAAAATTAAGGAGGTGGAGAGGAATCGCGAGGAACAGACAAAATAACGGTATTCGTATTCCGAGATTCGTTTCCTTTTTTTCTTCTTTTTTTCTTTTTCTCTTTTTTTTTTTTTTTTTTCTTTTTTTTCCTCGAAGAAGCGTCTTAACGTAGCGACGCTTCGCAGGATCGATTCTTTAGGGTCATTTTCTTAAGTTTATCGGTAAGGGAGATTGGTTTGATTAAAGATGGTGGTTCGCGATGCAGGGAAGATTGTTGCACGCTTTGCTCCCGATTTTTTTATTCCGCTCGAACGGAATGGTTTCCAATGTTAAGTCAACCGGCCTTCCTTCGAGGTTTGATCGATAATTTGTTTGGTTTTTTTTTTTTTTCTTCACGCGTTCGTACGATTTTACGTACACGCGAAAAGGATTTCTTCAATTAGTGGGAATTATGCTGTATCGTTTTTCGATCTCTATATTATGATCTATATTCTTATTTTCCTGCTCAGGTTTATGTAACGCCGTTTCGCAAGATCCGAGTATAGTTACGAACGATCAATTCTCTTTCGTTTTCCGATACGTATCCTCGATATTTCTCTCTCTCTCTCTCTTTTTCTCTCGAGTTGAAACGATTATTTAAAAAAAAAAAAAAAAAAAAAGAAAGAAAGAAGTCGGAAACGAATCGAAATTGTACTTTTGAATACGAGAAAATATTTCAATCGTCAATTTCTTTATCCTTAAGAGAACAAGAGTTCGTTGATTTTGAATGATTTTGTAAATTTTGAAGATACGAAAATAATAATAAAAAAAAAAAAAAGAAAAAGAAGAAGATGGAATTTAATTGAATATTTTACTCGAAAAGAGTAAATAATTGAATTGTTTAATGCTTTTATGCACCTGCTACGATTATAAGCAAAATTGTACGATGAAAAAATTCTCATAATTTGTGACATAATTTGTCACAATATCCCGAGAAACGAAAATAAATTTCTCCAACAATATATGGTATAATACCTATCAAACGCGGAAACAGATTCGCCGGAGATTTCCACTTTCGACGAAAGAAAAAGCGCGAAACGATAAACCGAAGAACAAAAGACGAACGAAACAAGCGCATATCCCAGAGATACATTATATTCCCCCCCACCGGCGAACCACGTGTACCAAAGTAGCATCCATGGCTTATGAAACATCCCGTCCACCTCTCGGCTCTATTTTACTTGTGCCCCACGGCGTTGCATCCCTGAACCCTTCATCTCCGCTCCTCTTCAAATAAGCCTCTCCTCCACCCTCCCATATTTTTATCTTCCCTCTGCAATCCTTTAATTCCACGACCTCATCGTCCTGCCTGTCCCCTGTACTTCTTCTGTAATCGTATTTCCCTCCGTGTCTTCTACATTCCATTGGACATGGCCTTTGGCTCATCTCTGACCAAAGAAAGAAAAAAAAAAAAAAAAAAAGGAAAAAGGAAAAAGAAAATTGCGCGATACCGAGACTAAGTTCTTTGTAATACAAGAGATCCTCGGTTCACACGTTTCTGATAGAGTATACGTCGGGATCAAGCTTCCTCGTGAGTCTCCCTCTCTCTCTCTCTCTCTCTTTCTTTCTCTCTCCTCCCTCCCCTGCCTCTCTCTGTTCACGCACACGAGATTATCGCGCCTGATCTCTCGCGCATTCGTTCGTTCCGCTTCGATCGTTTCACGATTCCGTTTTACTTTAACTGACCGTGGTCGAAATTTTTTTTTTTTTTTTTTTTTTTTTATTTCCTTTCGAACGAGAAGAGTTTACCTCGTTTCTTGGATTCATGAATCAAGTTCTCCATCTAATCTACGATTTTGTGTCATCCGTCATGGGATGGGAACGAACACTATTTTTCTTCGCACTCCGGAAATGAATGTGCGAATTACGTATTTCGTTCGAACGTTGCGAAATTGCCCATTGGTTGAATTTTCTATATGCTATAAAAAGACTTTTTTTTTTTTTTTTTTTTTATTTAACTTATTTAATTTTTGATATCACGAAAATTGTTTCTCTAGAGGAGTCTAGCCATCAGCTCGATCTCCTCTCTTCTCGATTTGGAAATATTATCATAACGGTTGTAAAAATTCGTAACGGTTCGACAATCTTCACAGCCTGGAGGCTGGCTGCCTTCATCGTCACTTTTGGCGGATCAAAGTTTGGCGACTGGCGATAATCCGCTCGAGTTTCTTTTCTTTTTTTTTTTTTTCTTTTTTTTTTTTTTTTTTTCCTTTTTTTTTTTTTTTTCTTTTCTTTTGGTGACAAGTTTGACCTAATTCGGCTTCTTTTCGAAGATCCGGTAAACGAGATGGAAGAAACACCTTTATCTCGAGGAATCCCTCCCCCTTCCTGTCTTCTGTAAATTCGTTTCTATAAGTGTTTTATACATATATAAATTGGGTATAAAATAATTAAATGTAATTGGGTGGTAAAATATTATATAAAGCTATTAAAAATTATTTAGAAATGGCGGAGAAAGTGTATACGAGCTATTGTGGTGGCAAATATTCGAAAATACTCGATTATTTTCGATAGGATATGCACAAGTTGCTTACGATATATTACAAAATCTCTGATCTCTTATCTTCCTAGTAATTATTTCAATTATGCATTATGACGCGATAAAATTGAATTTTATTAAAACTTAACGCATAATTCGCTATTTGTAAAGCTGTTTTATTTTTACACTCTTACGAATAACGATGCTTCATTCAAATAAACTTCTTAAGGCCTCTGATTGAATAATTTAATCATTGGAACGAAATTAAACTCCGTCAAAATGGCGGATTATTCCCAAAACCGCGAATTCTTAACGAAATTATACAAACATTATTATCTAATGCATTTAATACAGAATCCACTCCCGTTTACCGCAAATTTATCAAAGCATCCCTCGTATTATATTAAGCAACATAATTGGAAACCGAGTTAAAGCGATCGATTGGACGATCCTTTCCTTCAAAGATCAAGATCGTTTGTTTGTTGTGAGGTTGGAAAAAAAAAGTTGTATCGCGTGTCTCCGAACGATTAAACGGGATTATTAAGCAAGAGCATCGACATGGACGGGATCGGTAGGATCCAAAGGAAGGCCACGGATCGCGGCTATGATCCAGGGGCGTGGCACAGACCAGATCCGAGAAAGGAATCCGTCGTTTTACGTAACAATCTCGAGCGGATCCGCGATCCGCAGACAGGAAACTAACCACCACCACCACGTCATTTCTCGCGTGTCCAGGATAGTTTCCATTTATTGGTTCGATTGTTGGTTCGATCCCTTTGTCGGTCGCCATCCAACGCCTTCAACTATCGAACACGCATCGTCGCGTTTCCTTCGATCTTTCGAAAGGAATCTCCGCGATTATACGATCGAATCGCTCTTCTCTCTCCTCCCTCTCTATTTCTCTTTCGGTCGAACACACTACTGGTCGAACGATCGCAACATCGAAGTTGGCGAGTCAAAGTTGAATTATCATACGACAATCAGGTGTTGTCGAGCGAAGAGGATGAATCACGGCGATCGACGATTGGAATTAAAATCGAGGGAATGTCGAGATCGGGGCGGGAACCGATCTCCATCCACGGGACAAAAATTGCCCTGTCGCGCGATCGTGGCCGATTCGTGGAACGAGCGGAAGTCGNCGCGACTTTGTTTCCACGCGAGAAACGTCCGTTTCCTTCTCGGGGTATCAATTAGATCGGACAAATTAGAACACGATCCGAGTCAATATTGATATCGAGCAGAAGGAGGAGCGGTAATGAGCGGCGTTGCTCTTTTCTCTTCCCCCTCCCTCTCCCTCTATCTCTCCCTCTCCCTCCGACTCGCGACGCGCAACAGGGGAGAGAGAGAGAGAGAGAGAGAGAGAGAGCGAAAGAGAGAAAGAGAGAGAGAGAAAGAGGAATACAAAAAGAGGACAAAAGGAGGAAAAAAAGAAGGAAGAAAGAGAAGGTAGTAGGTATTTAAGGCTACCGACGGGCGAACCTACTACTACCGTACAAAGAGGAGCCGAGACACCGAGGGCAGGTACAAAAAGGGACGCGGGGCGGAGGACGAAAGACGGACAGAGACGAAATAAAAAGACGTGGAAGGGGGGAATTAAGAGAGGGAGAGGGAGAAGGAGAGGAGGAAGGGAAAGAGAGAGAGAGAGATCTGTATGCGGTAGCTATAAAGCCAGTCAGTCAGGTATGCCTGGAGGCTAGGCCATGATAGACAAGGTCATCCTCTCCCCCCTTTACACGTATGCTCCGGCTACCGCCAGTCCTCGTTTACATTTATTTATTTATAAATATACCGCGGCTCTCGGCTAATGCGCAGAGAGAGAGAGAGAGAGAGAGAGAGAAAGAGGAGGAGGAGGAAGGGGGGAGGGTATAAACGACGGATAAACGACGGACAACGATGTGGAACCCCCTTGACCCCCCGTCGTGGATCGCCTCTCTCTCGTTATTCGGTTAATCGCGGCGCAATAGACGCCGCGAAAAAAGGCTACCGCCGTTACCCGTTCTGTTCGATAACATCGTTACTCTTTCGCACGAGGCAAAGTTCCCAAGGTAGACTTTGCCTCCTCGTGTCCAGTGGATTCCCATTCTTTTAATAATTCATTGTTAATAATCCAGAGACTAGAAATATACGGATACCGATCGTATCTAATGATTAAATATAACTTTATTTCATCGCATGTTGTTCATTTGCGCAAAAATTATCTCGATCAGCGTAGCAGCATACTTACGCTTAGAGCTGAGTACGATTTTGTTTCTTTTTCTTTTTTTCTTTTCCTCTTCTTCTTCTTCTTCTTCTTTCTTTCTTTTTCTTGCGATTAATTAACGAATCGGTTGGATGATTGATTGTTCGCAGATCTTCGGTAGCAAGGCGGACCTGCAGCTCCACACGCAGATCCACATGCGCGAGGCGAAGCCGTACAAATGCACCCAGTGCTCGAAGGCGTTCGCGAACTCCTCGTACCTGTCCCAGCACACCAGGATCCACCTGGGCATCAAGCCGTACCGCTGCGAGATTTGCCAGCGGAAGTTCACCCAACTGAGCCACCTACAGCAGCACATCCGCACGCACACCGGTGACAAACCGTACAAGTGCCGGCATCCAGGCTGCACCAAGGCGTTCAGCCAGCTGAGCAACTTGCAGAGCCACTCCCGCTGTCACCAGACCGACAAGCCGTACAAGTGTAACTCTTGCTACAANNNTTCTCCGACGAGCCCAGCTTGCTCGAGCACATACCGAAGCACAAGGAATCGAAGCACCTTAAGACGCACATCTGCCAGTACTGCGGCAAGAGTTACACCCAGGAGACGTATCTTGCGAAGCACATGCAGAAACACGCGGAGAGGACGGACAAGAGACCTCCTATAATCGGGACGGGGCTTAGGCCGTCGATCCACGCGATGGCGGCCCATCATCAGGACCACTACTGGCCGAAAGTGAGCCCGGACTCGGTAATCAGCGATCTTCACGACCGGTTGCCCCATCACCACACCGACTACCATCAGAACCAGAACCCAGAGATGCTGTTGCCCGGCCACGGCCACCGTGGCGAGTCGATCGAGAACGATTCCAGGCAACAGACCCCTCAACCGGGCGCCAATCACCACCCGAACAGCAGTTCGGCGTTCACGCCGATCTCCTCCATCTCGATAAACTCGATCTCCTCCATGCAACACCCGTTGAACCCTCTCAACCACCTGCACTACCCGGCCAGCCATCACCCGGCCTCGAGGCCCTACCTCTACGAGGCGTTCAACTCGACGCAGAAATCCTCCCCAGCGTCCTCGTCGTCCGGGGTCACGTCCGGCACAACCACCAATCAGAACGCGACCTCGTTCCCCAATCAATTGATCAGCCTCCACCAGATCAGGAACTACGCGCATCAACCTAACCTCGGCAACCTAGGCAATTTAGGGAACCTAGGCAATCTGAGCAATCTCAGCAATCTGAGCGCGACGATGGAGAGCCACGCTCTCCTAGGCGGACTCAAGGAGAAGCAGTAACTCCGGCTGGTCTTGGAGATTAGGAACAAAAAAAAAGAAAAAAGAAGAAAAGAAAAGAAAAGAAAAAAAAAGAAAAAATCTATATCGCTATTTCTCCTCGATTTCTTTTTTTCTTTATCCGCGTACACTCGGTGTTCCATGTTCATCCCGCGTCCTTGTCGTCTCTCCTCCCCCCCCCCCTCTCCTCCCCAGTTTTTCAAGAGAAAAACCTGCGCGAGGGGCCAGCCAACTCGAACGACGCGTCTCCCCTACGGCAATTCTTTTTTTTTTTTTTTTTCTCCTCCGCCGATAGATCCGACGCGTCGATCGAATTCGCCGCTCCTAGGCGCCCGATCTCTCTCTTCCCTTTTTACTTTTGTAAAAAGATCCCGTAGAAAATTCTGTGACCATTTTTTTTTTTTTTTTTTTTTTTAGAAAAAATAACCTTGTTGTTGTACGATGCGTGCAAAATCGTTCCTGTCTTTTCTTTCTCCGAGCTCGGGTGACCGAGGGTGGCCAATCGCTCGAGGATGATCGTTAGATTGAAATTTTTACTTAGTTTTAAGTAAAGAAATTATTAAGAAAGGATTTTTACGCGCGTTGTATCCGTACACATTCGTCAGTTGTACGTATAAAAAGATTTTCCAAGTTTTCCTATTTCGATAGGAAATTTTCTTTTACGTTTTAAACGTAACGATTATCTTTTTCTTTTATCGTTAACCAGTTAGCCAATCTCTTACCAGTTAGTCAAAAAAAAAAAAAAAAACCTTCTCTTTTCCAAGAAGAATTCTAAACAAACGAGAATGATCGAGGGGAAAAAACAAAAAAAAAAAAAAAAAAAAAAAAAAAGAAAAAAAAAAAAAAAACCTTCTCTTTTCCAAGAAGAATTCTAAACAAACGAGAATGATCGAGGGGAAAAAACAAAAAAAAAAAAAAAAGAAAAGAAAAAAGAAATCCTACATCCTATCGTTCCATCCGGTGAAGTATTATTAATCTTCTCGAAAAAAGCATTCGCGAGACGAATGCAAATCGGCGACTTTTAATCGCTCCAATGCGACCGTGCATCCATGCATGAAGAACGAATATTAGAAAGTAACCCTGTTCGGCACGGTATCGATCACGGCTTCCCATCGATCGATCCAGCGGCAGGATCGATCGAGCCTCCCCAGTGTAACCGGCCGTTTAGCCTGATTAACTTTCACGTTCGTGAAGTTAGATAGAAAGTAGCTTGGAAAGATAATCGACGGGCGTGTTTCTCGATGTCCTCGGCGAATAGTCACCCAGACATCCAGGGATCCATGCTGGCACAGAAATCCTGACGCATTTCCTAGTGAAACTATTTTCGAGGGACGTCCCACCCGAGTTCCAACCGAACACTTTTCCTCCACCCTTCGAAATTTCATCCATGAAAAGTCTCCTTGGGATGCGAATATACATATATATATATATATTTCAGAGAGTAAAACTCTCGGGAAAGTTGAGATTATTTTTCGCAAGTGAGAAAAATAAGTGCGTGGAGAGTGATTTTGTTGCAAACGATAATTTTTATTCTCGTCTTGGAAAATTTTACTTGGCGAAAAATAATTCTCGCGAAAGCGACTCGCGCCCCAAGGATGCGATAACAATAATTTCCTTTCCAGGTAATTCCTCCTGTATTTTTTTTCTTTATCTTTTTTCCACTTCTTTTTTTTTCTTTCTGGTACTACTTGATGACTCGGTGGTCCCATCGACGATCATGTAATTTGGTATTAATAATTTTAACTCGATTGGCGCGTATCCGTCTCCTACGTACAATTTTCGTTTATGATTTTTTTTTTTTTTTTCTTCTCGAGTTCGAGTGTTAAAGATCCGTGGAATTTTGATTTAAATTTTTCATGGATTTCGTTATCACGACGATTCGTGAATGGTATTTTTGGTCTTTTATCACTTTGGGGCAGGCGACTTTGTTGGTTAGCCTCGTTACACGTACGTGATACGTGTGTAAAATATCTCCGTGATACCACCGCTTTTGACCCTTTTCCTCTAAATTCCACTACGATGGAATGCATTGGGTTATTGGTTTAAATTACAAAGCTGTCGTATAACTTTATTATCTTCGTTGAATTATTATTTCGAAAAGTTCTCTTTCAAAATTCCAACTGGCCAACAGAACTAGGAATCGCGATCATAAACAAATTACTAAAGAATCACGCAAATCAATGAATCAACGAGTTAGCAGCTCTCGAGAGCGACAATGTTTCTATGTTCCATTAAAGAGAAATTGATTTAAATTATAAGGTCGTAAAGTTCCAAAGTTCCCTTGATTGCCGGTGGAGGAACGAAAGAAAAGTGGGAGGGGGAAATCTGTATAACCAAGAATCGATGGGACCGCCGACAATTCCGTTCTTTTCGCTTTTCTGCCTCCCAGGAGCATCGTACGTAAGAGGGAATAGCAAAGCCAGGAGAAATCGTGTCGTGGAGTAGAGCTATTTTCCAAGGGGTGGCTCACCCCCTGAAACCGGTGCAAGGGGGTGGGCATACCTTTCTGGGTCGAGTGGACGTTTCGCTCGCAACGGGATAATTAACGAAGCGAATGTGTGTATGTGTGTCTGAGAAAGCCGGAAACTCTGTTGTGTGGTGTGTGATGTAGATGTGTGTGTGTGTATGTGTGTATGTACGCGTGTCTGTGTATATGTATGTATGAGCGGGTGGAAGAGGGGTAAAAAAAAAGAAAAAAGAGGAAGAGAAGAAAATGGGAGTCTAAGCATCACACGCACTTTTTAAAAAAATAAATAAATAAATAAATAAATAAAATAGGAGTTACACGCGTACACACATGAGGGCACAAATCGTGTGAATACCTTTGAGGGCGAAAGAAGAAGAGGAGTGTATCAGAGAGAGAAAGAGAAAGGGTGCAAGAGAGGGTGCAAGAGAGAGAGAGAGAGAGACTTAGAATAGAATTGACGACAGTGCCACGAAATAATTAAATGCGAAAGTAACGGAGATAATAGAGAATATAAAAAAAAAAAGAGAAAGGGAACGAGGAGTGTGAGAGAGAGAGAGAGAGAAAGAAAGGAAAGATTGAAAACGCGAGTAACTACACAGGCGCACAGAGAAAGAAAGAAATAAGGAGAGAGAGAGAGAGAGAGAAAAAGAGAGAAAGAGAGAACGGTACGGAGAACCTCCTTGTATATAGTTATTATATAAATATATAAATATATATATATATATATATATATAAATAAATGAATAAATAAATATTATATATTATTATTATTAATTGATTAATTAATTAATTGATCGATATTCGGTAGGTGCGTAAGGGGAAAAAAAAGAGAGGAAGAGGATATAGACTCTACTGAAGATATTCTAAGTACCTTGTCTAACGAGAAAACAGCGAAAAAGAGAACGAGAGAGTGTGTGTGTATGTGTATGCGTGTGTGTTATGCGAGGGAAGATCGCGTGTGTGAAACGAAAAAAAAAGAGAGAGAATGGAAAAAGAGAAGAGAGAGAGAGAGAGAGAGAGAGAGAGAGAGAGAGAGAGAGAGAGAGAGAGAGAGAGAGAGAGAGAACGAATGGAGAAAAGGGAGGGAAAAGAAGTAAGCAATCGTTGCCCAAAGTTATTTACGATAATTTTTCTTTCTCTTAAGAGCGCGTTTCCGTTCCGTACGTATTCGCGGTTACGACCAACCTCGACGATCGGTCTTCCTTCGTTTTTTTCTTGTTTCTTCACCCAGTTTTTTTTCTTTTCCTTTCATTTCGACAATCTATATAAAATAATATAAAATAAAGCGCGATCGTCGAGGTCGATCGAACGAGCTATTTAGAAAAATTCGAGGCGTGAGAAAATTCGCCGGCGTAGCGAAGAAAAAAAAAGGAAAAAAAAAAAAAAAAAAAAAGAAAAGAGAGAAGAACAACACTGTGTACTATAGATAATTTCTTGTTACGGCGCCGCCAGTGTTTCGTTTCGTGACTCTTCCTCTTAATCGGTCTTAATCGATCCGCGAGGTACCAGGGCTTATGAAAAGATTTTTTTCTTTTTATTTTTATCATATTTTCAAACAATCTAACAGAACCTACTATTTTTTTAATTTCTCCTAATTTTTTCTTTAAACGTGAACTTAACTCGAACCGCTCGTTCCCTCCTTCCGACGAAAAAAAAACGAAAGAATTATTCTTGTTCATCTCCGTCCATCCTCCAGTTCGATGGACGAAAAAAAAAAAAAAAGAAGAAAAGAAAGAACGAAATACAAAATCCCCTGCCCCCTTCTTCCCCCTCTTCTTCCCCTCCTCTCCTCTCATCTGCTCTCCTTCCTCCCCTCGAAGAGAGGCGAGGAAACGAACACGAAACGCGACACGATCGGCGCCCCACCTCTATGCTCAAGTTGTTTAAAAACTAATTAGTTTGTTAACTAAGAAAACTAAGAGCGAGTGATGACCAAGAGCGATCGATACGATGTACGAAAGTATTCATAGGGAGTGCGTGAAGAGGAGAAAACGAGGAAAGAGTTTTTTAGTTTAATAATTTCGCGTGGAAAGGAGACACACGGCCCGATCGCGGTTTCAGGCACCCGCCTCGTTCGTCGACTCGTGTTTTCCCCCGTTCTCGATTTCGAAAGTGACCGAAAGT